GATCCATGACTGCTGACCCCAAATACCAAAACCGTTACCCCCAATAACGACATGACACCTGATTGTTGGGTTAGGGCAACGGCCACAGCTTTATTAAACTTTTACACAGCCAGCATTTCCACCTGTCAGCTGTTGGGGTGACTACCCAACAGACAGATACTCCAAGTCTTTATCCAGAGTTCGTACAGCCTGCCTTCGGCCATCAGCCCTAGCAGGCTGCGACTCCCCAAATCCTTTCCGTGCATTACGTGCGCTGGCCAGGAACTCCACCATAGCTGTGACAAAACAAAAACAGAAACAAACAACACCACAAGCCAAACCATCACATAGCATGGGAAAAAAATTTTTGGGGAGGGCGGGAGGGAAACTGTTCCAGACTGCTCCTTCTGTACTGGTGAGTCCCACCCCCCTGCTCTCCCTCTTATATCCCACTATATAGGCAAATTGTATCTTTTATATTCCCACCCCTTACTGCAGGGCAGCAGTCATGCCTCCCCTTCCTTGCAGTCCAGGGGATATCTTGACTGCTGACCCCAAATACCAAAACCGTTACCCCCAATAACGACATGACACCTGATTGTTGGGTAAGGGCAACGGCCACAGCTTTATTAAACTTTTACACAGCCAGCATTTCCACCTGTCAGCTGTTGGGGTGACTACCCAACAGACAGATACTCCAAGTCTTTATCCAGAGTTCGTACAGCCTGCCTTCGGCCATCAGCCCTAGCAGGCTGCGACTCCCCAAATCCTTTCCGTGCATTACGTGCGCTGGCCAGGAACTCCGCCACCGCGATGCCGGCCCTCCCTCTCTTTACCCGGCATCGCGCCCCCCCGCAGCCAGCGCCTTTTCTATACCCGACTGCAGACCCGCATTAAAAATGTCCAATCCTATTTGGTTCAGGTGCACTCCGTCCGCCCTCATCAAATTACGATAGTCCCCCTCCAGCTCCACATGCCGGACCGCCACACCACCAAGCCACCGCCCAAACCGAGAGATCGTCATGTTGAGCTTGCGCCTGCTCCGCTCCAGGCCCTTGGCATGCGGCAAGACCTGCCAGCCAGGACAGGGAACAATCTCCGACCAAATCAGAGTACAGTCTGAGAATAGTGCCAAACACCGGGCCACGTCGTGCTTGACAGAGTGCATCAGATCCACCGATCTAACCCTCCCTAAATCATTACCTCCCGCATGGATCACAATTGTAACAGCCCCCGACACGAACCTGCTCAGGGCCACGCACTCCGGATAGACTTGCCTCCAGGACAGACCCCGAACACCCCTCCAGCGTACCCTTGCTATGTCCATGGAGATCCCTAGGTTCCGTCCATAGGAGCGAGACTGAGCCCGTCGAGCTGCCCCAAGATCCATACGTAATGGGGGACGCAACCTGAAACAAATTATAACAAATGTGGTCGAACATACAGCTGAAACCGCTTAGAAGACCATCTGCCTAATCGCTGCACCACCGAACCTGCCAAACCCATACCGCTAGCCTGAGTAGCGGCCCCGATCCTGAAGGAATGAGGCGAGAACCTGGATGGATCTTGACCGCAGTCCACCAGAGCTCTACCCAACACTGACGCGAAGTGAAAACGCGTAAGCGGGGACCCATCCGCATGCACCAACAACGAGGCCGCCGCCGGCCGACTCGCCATATACTGTTGGAAGAGCCGGACCGGACAATACTCACCACCATAGCTCCCCACCCTGAGCCACACACCAGCACCAGCTTGATCTGTCTTGGATCTGCGGATATGCAGGTCCACAAACCCATCCGCCCAACGCACATCTGACAGCAGGAGTGGAGAAACCGAACAGCGATTGGGGGCGACAAGCTCCCCCACCCGCAATGCCCCGAAGAAACACAGCGCAAAACTAACCTGAAACAACCGACTCTCTGATACCGAGACACAGACCCCCGGCAACGCCCCCATCAACTGCCACAACAGCTCCACTGAAATCGGACGCCGCCGGTCCGGACGCCTCCGGGTCCTCCAACCGCGCAGAACCCGCTGCAGGCAAAACTCCTTCGTTATGTCCCACCAGCCTAGAAACCGAAACAAAAACGACAGAGCCGACAGCGCTCTCTCCGCCGATGCGCATGATTGACCTTGCTCCAGGAGCCTACTCATATAGCGTAACGTCACTGTGAACCGGGCAGACCCCGATGACATACGATCAGACCCCTCCACACACGACAGCCAACCTACCCATACCGACCTGCACGCCTTCCACGTAGCCGCCGACAACGATTCCGACACCAAGGACATCAGCCCTCCGAAACCAGGTCCCATAAGTATGCCGGGCAGCGAAGACCCTCCTGATCTGCTTCCGGGGCCGACTCCCGAAAACGGTCCCACTGAAACTGAGAAAGAGAGTCAGCCACCACATTCAAAACCCCTGGAACATGCCGAGACTGCAACCACACATTAAACTGTAAGCTCAGCAGCACTAGGTGACACAAGAGAGCCAGCACTGGAAGAGATGCAGACGATGATCGGTTAATCACATGGACCACACTCATGTTATCCGTGTGAAAAACCACCACCCGGTTCCGCAATTCGTCCCCCCACAGTGCTAGCGCCACCACTATGGGGAACAGCTCCAAGAACGTAAGGTTCTGCATCAACTCCAGCTCACGCCATGCCACCGGCCAAGCAGCAGCACACCACTTGCCCTGAAAGTAAGCCCCAAACCCTACCGATCCCGATGCATCCGTATACAGTTCGAGTTCGGCATTGGGAACCGCTTCCCGCAACCAGCATGATCCGCCGTTATACCTACCCAGGAAGACGCTCCATACCTGCAAGTCAGCCCTAAGTTTGGCCGACACCCGAATAAAATGGTGAGCCTCCCTGATACCAACCGTCGCCAATGACAAGCAGCGGCAAAAGGCCCGACCCATGGGCAAGACTCTGCAAGCAAAGGCTAGGTGACCCAGCAGTACTTGCATCGTGCGCAACTGTACCTTCCGAGCCGATTTTACCAAGTCAATCTGCTTGAGCAGGACCATTAGCTTTTCGTCCGGTAAGCGAAAAACCATGTCCACTGTGTCAATCTCGATGCCCAAAAACGACAGCCTAGTGGCTGGCCCCTCCGTCTTCTGCTCCGCCACTGGTACGCCAAACCACGCGGACACTGCGCGGAAGGCCGACAACAACCGAGAACATCCGTCACCCTCCCGAGGACTCACAAACAAGAAGTCGTCGAGATAGTGCGTCACCAAATCCAAACCCGAATACTGAAACACAGACCATTCCAAAACGAGGAAAACATTTCAAATAAGAACACGATATCGAACAACCCATGGGAAGGCACTTGTCGTAGAAAAACGACCCCTGGAATTGACAACCCAGCAGGTGATAACATTCTGGGTGAACCGGCAATAACCGAAAGGCCGATTCGATGTCTGATTTAGCCAGGAGTGCCCCCAACCCTGCTTCCCTAACCAATGACAGGGCCCTGTCAAACGAAGCATAATGCACCCTGCTGAATTCCTTATCGATATCATCGTTCACCGACCTCCCAGCCGGGTAGGACAGGTGATGAATCAACCGAAAGGAGCCAGGCTCCTTTTTAGGTACCAGCCCCAAGGGCGATACCCGCAAGTTGGGAAATGGGGGGTAAGAAAACGGCCCCGCCATGCGCCCCAATGACAATTCTTTTCTCATCTTGGCACCCAAAACTTCCTCCTTACCCTTGACCGACCGAAGATTATCTGCCAACCGTGGCTCCGCCGAGAAGACAAAGGGGATCCAGAATCCGACTGAAAACCCTTCCTACAACACCGCGGCATCGCAGCGTTTAGGGTAGGCCTTGAGCCATGGCAACATCCTTGCCACGCTCACTGGTGTCCTCCCCTTTGGAACCATCCTCTCGTGACCCTGCCTTGGGAATGGACTGCTTCGCCTTCTTGAAGCATCGCATGGCGGGGTGAGCCCCCCCGCAATGCGAGCACTCGTGCTTGAACCTACAGGAGGAGTACCACCTGCAGTGGCTCTCATTGAAGAGCCAGCACACTCCCTTTTTCTGCCCAGTCGGCGTGGAAAGGACGCCGGACGACTAGGCGTCATGAGTAACAGCCACAGGCTGCCATCCTGCGTGCCGAAGTCCAATCCAGGACATGCCGCCATCTTCTGCCGGAACTGCTGGTCGTAACGGAACCAGCTCTGCCCGCCATACACCTTATACGCACCCCAAATCAGATCCAAGTATCCGAACAACGGCGGCGCCC